GCGAGCTGCACCGCGGGGTCTAACCGCGGTATCTGTAAGCATGCTTCATTGAATCGCTTGATGTAGCCCCGGATGGATTCTCCTTCCCTCTGGAATACTTCGAAGATGCTTTCCTCTGTTCTGGGGCACCGTTTGCTGGTGACAAAGTGTGCGGTGAAGATCTGCACGAACTGAGCCTAGCATTTTATCGACCCGGGGGCCAGGTTCCTGTACCAAGTGCGGGCTACCCCTTGAAGGTGGTGGTGAAGGCTACGCACATGCACGATTCATTGGCCCTGGCGAGGTGCATTTGGGACTGGAAAGCGTCAACGTGATCGTTGGGGTCGAAGAACCCATCATACTTGTCCAAAGGTGGGAGCTTGAAATCCCTGGGCAGGGGGACTGCTAGGAGTTCTGATGCGAGGGGGGAAGAAACTGAGAGAATCGGGGCAACTCCTGCCTCGTCTGAGCTTGTCTCTTCCTTGCCTCTGAGCTCTGACAGGATACGGGTGGTAGTTCGGCGACTTCGTTGTTGAGTGGGCCTGGTACTGGCGCTGTTGGCCTCTGTGTACCGAGCTCGATGGGCCCGGAATGCTGGTAGTCTGCTGCCAGGGCATCAAATTGGTTTTTCATGAGCGGGAACTCGGGCTTGGAGCGCCGAGGTGCCGATCTTTCGGGCGAGGTTCCTGACCCACCTGCGAGCTGCGAGGCGGGGATGATTTTTCTCTCTCTTCAGCCTGGGGACGGGGCCTGGCTGTTAGGGGGGTTCTAGGGCCGGGAGGCCTTTCCCTGGTGGGGGCGTCCATCTTGTGGGGAGGCCTTTACCAGCCTCGGAGCAGGGTGCCGAGGTGGAAGTGGTGGTTGGTTCAGCGGCAGTTGGGGGACTGCTATTGATAGTGATACTGGGAGATGTTGTGCAATACTTGGTGCTAATGAAGCTGGTGTTGCTGGAACTGTTGCATTTGGGCTTGCATTGCTCGCATGCACTGCATCAGGTCGTCCAACCGGTTTTGGTTGGCTGCCAGGGGGACGGCAGTTGGTTCAGTGAAGGTTGTCTCAATAGGGGGAGGAAAGGGGATGCTCATGGCAGGAAGGTTTACGGGTGCCACTGCTTGTGGCGCATTCAAGCTGGGGATCCCATCCACCGAAGGGGGATGGTGAGCTGTCCAATGCACACCACGGGGACTTGAAGTTGTTCCCCGGTGGTATTTGTCTCTGTGCCACGTCCGGCGTTGCTGGAAGAGGCCATGAGTGTTGGGTTTTTTTTTTTTTTGAAGGAAAGAGGTTATGAGAGTTTGGAGGGAGGCTTTTTGAAGCTTTCCCACAGACGGCGCCAATTGATGGTGTGCAATCCGGCCGGTCTTAGTTGTCAACGACCTTGCCTCTGAACTGAACAGCAGGGAACCTGAAACGGAGAAGATGAGGAAGCTCCAGGGGGAACCCGGTGTAAAGGCTCTGAAGCTCAAGTTTGAATCCTTCAAAGGCGAGATAAAACCAGATAGCGCAAAGTTTGCATACCATGTTCTTGGGGGGTAGAGAGCCTTTTATAACCACCTCACGCACTTACTCCTAGGTTTCTGTCTGGTCGGGTATGATTACTTTCGTGCTTCTGCCAGTTCGGGTGTCATCACCTCTGCTGGGGCAGAATCGCCACTGCTCTTTTTGTCGGAGCCGTCTCTGTAACTGGAGATGGCGGTGGCAGGTGACGGTGGCAGGTGGCCGTTTGAAGTGCGGCTGTCAAGCGTCAGATCCCAAGTCAGTCAGGTGCGCTGCCCCTGGATACGAACTCCTTCGGTGATAGGTACGGTGTTCTGGAGGCGAAGTGCTGGAGCGGTGTGCGAGGCGAAGTCTTGAGTTCGGATAGGTGAGTGTCCCGAACTGCCATGAGGCGGGCCAATTCGGGTCATTGCTTTGTGTGGCTCGGGGTTAAAGGGAGAGTTCGAGCTCCTCGTAGGGAGTTCGAGCTCTTAGTAAGGAGGTCTGGCTCCTTGTAGGGAGTTCGGACTCCTCGAAGGGAGTTCGGTCTCCTCGAGGGGAGTTCGGACTACTGGTTTCTTCCCTTTGGTGTTTGCACCCTGGGTACGGTGCTTTAAGTGCCAAGCTACTTATTTTTTGCCACGTGGCATGATTGTGAGGTCGGGCCAAATCTTCCTTCATCAATAACTGATGATGTGTTTTCTCAACTTCCTCAACAAATCTTCCTCAACCGTGAAATATGCATGTTGAAAGCATTCAATTCATTAAAAGATTGTTAGAGTAAGCTTTGAAACGTTGTTCAGTCGGTTAATCATCCTATATCCTCAAATATGTGAGATTTTGATTTGAAGTTTCAATTGTTTGACTAATCAAATCCAACTCAACTAACTCTCTTAAAAAAAAGTAATGACAAAAACCAGACATGATCAACATCAGGCCTGAATGTTGAGACGCTTGTCTAACAGAGCAAACCGAGTTGCACCCAAATAATGAAACCCGCTAGATAGAAATGGATAATAATTAATGACGCTTGTCTACTACGAATTCTGAATATATTGCTCACAGCTGAACCAATGCTATATATCTTGTTGAGCGGGGAGGTAAGATTCTCCGCGGGTGGATTGCATTTTCTTGTATGCATTTCGTCGAACAGGTGTTTTAGTCCCTCTCTGGGGAGAGTATATTCGAACATTCTCTCTCCCTGGCTGCACTACTCTTTTGTTTCGCGAATGAGACAGCACTGCAGCAGTCTTTGATGAGTTTGCACGCGTCCGCTGCCGTATTCCTTGGGAAAGCAAATCCATTCGCCACCGCCAGTATAGATTACTACGATCGAGCAATAGCATCGCCATCGACCACCCCATCAGCCATCCCTGAAGAATCTCTACTTACTTTCGTAAACGTCATCGTCGCATTAGTAGCAGAAGAAGCGCCAGGCCAACAGAACCTTGTCATCACTTCACTCTCACCCGTCGCCTCCAGTGAAATTATACTCTATTCCTCCTATTACTTACTTCTTTAATGTATGTCCGTCAATTTGGGCAGATCAACCGCTTAAACCCTCTCGCTCTACTTCACTTGCCACGTGGTAAATCTGCCCCAGGTTACACCTCGGCGCTTGTACCACACCGTGTACCTTTCTTCCTGTTAAATCTGTCCAGTTGGCAATTCAGGGCTTATCCGCCACGTGTCTTGTGTTGTGTACCACCACTAAAACGATTGGTAGTGGTAGGGTTAGCATTCCTCTTAGAATTTATTGAATGGGTTGAAGGTTGAAGCCACGGCCCAGGATTTGCATAATGTTACTTCCAGTCGATGCTACGTTGCTTCTTAATATTTTCCTCCMGAGAAAACGACGACCTCATCAAATCTTGTCCATTTATTCAGATGATAAGGCTAGATCGACGGTCGGCTGCACCACATTCCCATTCGTTCCACGTCCATTCAATAATAACATTAGAAAAATCGTAAAAGCCCAAGTGGCATGAATTTAGTCCTCATTTGAGGCTTATTTAGGGGAGCATAGGGGAACCATTGTAGAGCTCAGGAGCAAAAGGCGAGTAGGTTGGCATCCTCAGCGTTGCTGGCTTACTTTCGCAACACTCCTCACCTCACCTCAGTCTCAGGAGTCAGGACATTGTCAACAGTTTTCCAAGTCGTCTTCTCCTCCAACTCCAACCCTTAATCGCAGAACTTGAAAGCATGGCCCCAGGAGTCCCGGTGGATGCATTCACAGGCACCGGCGGCAAGGTCGCGATCCCCAACAGGGGGTACTCCAAGAGGGCCTACGTGACGTTCCTCGCCGGTAATGGTGATTACGTGAAAGGAGTTGTTGGATTAGCCAAGGGTCTGCGCAAGGTCAAGAGTGCGTACCCTCTGGTAGTGGCCATCTTGCCCGATGTCCCCGAAGAACACCGTGAGATCTTGACGTCTCAAGGTTGCATCGTCCGAGAAATCGAGCCCATCTACCCTCCTGAGAACCAAATCCAGTTTGCCATGGCTTACTATGTCATCAACTACTCCAAGCTACGTATCTGGGATGTAAGTGAATGGTTTTGTTTACTTGTTCTTTCTTTTATTTATATATGTTAAAGCCAGTTATGAAGTAGTGGGGGACGGTTGATTGTGTGATTGCAGTTTGAAGAGTACAGCAAGATGGTTTACCTGGATGCAGATATTCAGGTGTTCGACAATATAGATCACCTCTTCGATGGACCAGACGGATACTTGTACGCTGTGATGGACTGTTTTTGCGAGAAGACATGGAGTCACTCACCACAGTACTCCATTGACTACTGCCAACAGTGCCCCGACAAGGTGACATGGCCGGCTGAGATGGGCTCACCACCTCCCTTGTACTTCAACGCTGGGATGTTCGTCTTCGAGCCTTCCCATTTAACCTATGAAAATCTTCTTCAGGCTCTGCAGATTACACCGCCGACACCTTTCGCGGAGCAAGTGAGTTAATTAATTAGTCAGTTAGGATGTTGGTTCATATATAGGACTGCTTTGATCGGCCTGTGTGATTAAGGTTTTCATGCATGTTAATTTCCATGAATTGATAGGATTTCTTGAACATGTTCTTCCAAAACATGTACAAGCCCATCCCTCTGGTCTACAACTTGGTCCTGGCCATGCTCTGGCGCCACCCCGAGAACGTTGAGCTCGACAAAGTCAAGGTGGTCCACTACTGTGCAGCGGTTAGTATATATATATATATATATATATATATAATGTTCTTCCTGCAAATATGCCTCACAAGACTCACAACACTTGATTCTCGACCGATCTCAATTAAGTTAATCGATTGGTCGATGATGAACTGATCTGGTTAATCCATTCAAAAGACTGACTGTTTTAATATGATTGATTAAAACTCTTCTCCCTTAATTCTCCCTGTTCCTGTTAAATAGGGATCCAAGCCATGGAGGTATACCGGCAAAGAAGCCAACATGGACAGAGAGGACATTAAGATGTTGGTGGCCAAATGGTGGGATATATACGACGACGAGTCACTGGACTTCAAGGCGGAGGACTCCGTTCCGGAGGAAGAGACCTTCTCAAGGCAGTCGTCGATCATGGCAGCCATGCCCGAGCCCGAGATGGCCTACATCCTTGCACCCTCTGCGGCTTGAACAAGTTGATGTCGTGCTCAGAGAAACGCTGTAATCCCCCTATCGGCAATCATATTTTATGTAGGCTCTTAGAATTCACAAATCAATATATAAATAAATAAATATATATATATATATATATATATCAAGTCGATTGATTGACGATGGTCTTCGATCGTTGGCTTTTTGTTAGCATTTGCTATGTCAAAACAGCGTACACACTAACTGCAAAGTACCCTGGTGGTAATTAAAATTTTGCGTGGCGTCAAAAAATAAATTAAAATTAATTGCAGTGTCGTCGTCGTTGTTTGGCCCCACTTAAGATCATTGTCTCTCCTAGAACAGAGCCACCTGACCTGACCTGGCTAATCAAAACCGTTTGATCCATCGCGTACCTCCTGAGTCCGGACAGTTGAAACTTGAAAATGCAATCAGAACCAGATAAAGAGGACGGATCATTGGTCGAGAGAGAGAATCGTCCATGCGGTGACAGTGCCACCACCCTGCGTTTGTGCTCTAAATTCTAAGGGGTGTATATTGATTGGTGTTGCATTTTAATATTTTTATCGAAAACGTTTCGTGTTGATCAATATAAAATTATAAATTGCCGTTTCTATTTTGATTGAGGGTTAATACAAATTTGTATTGAGTTCATCAATTAATATAAATTTCTGATTTATGGTTTTTCTTTTAATTTTCGCAATTAAAATGACACATATATGATGTAAGGACAGGTCATGCAGGAATAGGATTCATCCTCGGATGCCCCAGCGGAAGCACAAAGCACAAGTACTCTTGCCAAAGGAGAGTGCTGTTGGGCCATCGATAGTTATGACTCATAGATCAGAGCTCTAATTCAAGGTTTAAAAGCAGCTACAAAGAGTAATATATCTAAGCTGAAAATATACAGTCTTGGAGGGATATTTAAAATTTTAGGAATTTTATATCTTTCTTTTTGTTTTTTGTTTTTAGTCTTTTCTCTATCTACTTCTCTTACATGTTGGTGAACATCTCTTGTCCCACATAGCGGTCATGACCATCGATATAGGTTAAATTTAGATGGCGTTTACAATTTTACTAGCATTCAAGTCTATTTAGTCACGATGATCAATGAGATTTGGATTATCCACCAGCAATAACATATTTTTTTGTACTGTTGGAATGGTACCCAAAGAGCTTTAACATATACTATAGATTCTAAGGGAAGAAGTTAAAATATAACACTTAATTTTTGTTATGAATGAAAGAGTTCATTTGGTTTGTTGTTGGAATTGGAATGGTCTACTCCTATAGTCTGTTTCGTTCAGACATGAATCAAAATGAGAATTAGAATCAGTTAGAATGGGATTTCACTCCCAAGGGAGGGAAAGGGAATGGCCATTCCCTCAAATTGGGGAATGTCATTCTACCAGAAATAAGAATTGGGTATTGATTCCGCCCAACCAAACTGTGGGAATTGAAATGGCCCATACCGATTCCTCTGATTGCAAACCCTTATTCCTGCAAACCATATGGGACCTAAAATATGTTAATATTTTTAGCAATGTGCTTGAGGGAGAAAAATTGTGTTTTTACAAACAAACCTTTCCTATATTTTTTTCCACAACAAAGTATTTATTTTAGAATCCACAAGGAAAAGCATTTCTCTCAAATTTTATCTGGAAATATGAATTTTTTTGGCAATGTACTAGGGCAGTTAGAGTCAGTGGCTATTGAATGATGACCCAATAGCAGTGATAAGTTCAGTGGAGAATGGAAACTGATGCACTCTTATTGGGTGTTTGGTTTCGCTTACGTTTATTCAGTAAACATTTATTGGCGGTGCTACATAGGCGCCATCTCAGCTTTTTCTCTCTCTTGCTCTTTCGCATGCATCGAAAATGTAAAAAGTGAACTTTGGTTTATGTGCATACTAGCTGTTTGTAGAAATTATTTTTTGAAACTTCCACAAAGGAGTTACACTGAAATGGTACTTAGTTGCAATTATTGCATTTTTCGATTTTACCAACAAATAAAATATAAGCATTTATTTAATAAACATAAATAAAACCAAACACATAATCTCTTACGGTATCTAAGAGTGGTAATGCTTCCACATGATTTTTTGTTGCACAGTATGACAATAAGATTTATATTCTGGAATTGGGAAAGTAGTTAAATGTGGCCGGCCTTATCTTTACTGACTCGTTAGTTTCATATATATTATCTATGAGACTTTGAAAGAGGGGATCCTCTTTCCTATGAACTGTGGGTTGGAGGGAGGACCAACTTAGGTGGAGCTGTAGCTTGGTCCTGACGTAGAAATAATCACTTGGTTTTCGTTTGTTTTGCAGTGGACTGGTGGTTAAATGGGCTGAGTGTTAATTCTAGGTTTTTAAGATGTGATTTTGTTTTGTTTGTTTTAATCAATGTTTTAAAAATTAACGCGGCCTCTGGGTCATGGGTCAACGGTTTGACCATTTGAGTCAAATAGGTCAGATTGTGTCATGCCATCAAATCTTTTGTGTAAATATATATTTTATTATTAAAAATGTATAATTTTTTAAGATATAATATATGTATATATAAATATTATTTTATATTTAGTTTATATTTTTTATTTGTAATAAATGTTAAAAATTGCAATTTAAAACCTAGAAAAGGGTTTAATTAATGGCGGAAATAACAGGTTAAAGCGACTTGAAACACAATGATCTTGAAAATTTACCTCAAATATATATATAAAAAAAAAGATCACCCAATCGATAAGTAGGTGTAATTCATGTATTTGAGGTAGGTATACAAATTCAACATTTCTAACAACTAGGCAACCTGAAAGATGTTTTGGTTAACATTTTCTGGTCCTGATATTCCAATCCACGGCTGACAACTAAGGATAACTTCAATGGGCCCAAATGGCAAGGGAACTTAGAGATAGGGGGAAGTCGGGCAAGATTTTGGCCAAGTTTTAAATCAACCCAAGTCCAATTCTAAGAATTGGGCCTAAAGCCCAACCCCGGCCTAAGTCTGAAGTCAATCCTGAACTATCCAATCTAAGCCCAACTAGCAGCTAGCACTCAAATTTGATGCACACGGGTTGATCAAGTAGTCCATATTAAAAATCACTATACATGTATGCATATATGTACGTTTTATAACAAAAAAATTTATGAATATATACATGCATACATACAAATATGTATATATACATATATATATATATATATACAAATATGCATACATACAATTATATATATGTATATATACATATATATAATTGGGCTGGATTCGGACTACCTCAAGGCTTGGCCATTCCCATACAAATATGGTTTACTTTTGCTTCCTAGGTCATTCCCATACAAATAACCCTTTTCTGACCTCCATTGACAACATTTTATTTTTCACAAACAAACATGGCAAAGTCAAATCTCAAGCAAAAGTAAAACAGAATTTACACCGACGCAATGCAAACAAACTGAGCCGTGAAGTTTGCATCATCATTTCTGTTGTGTTTAGTATCATTACTGTTAATGTTTAGGGTTAATCGATATAAATGGACATATAATTAGTATTTGAGGTTATTTATAATTGAAATAGTCATATCTTAAAAATGCATGTGTGAGAGACTTTTTCTAGAATCATCAAATTGGTGTTCCTTGCTCCAAAATGACTGTAGAAGCGACAATCATACCAAACAACTTTAATCAATTAAGGCCGGTGACGGGTTCATGGAAAAAAAAGTTAAAAAGAACATACTTTGATTGGAAAAAAAGTTTGCATCATCAGTAGGTATACATTTAATGTATGTTGCCAGACTTTGGATTTTCAATTAAGCAAACCAAAATATTCAATTAATATTAAAGCATCTGGAGGGACCCATTTAAAGTACATTCAGGAACTATGTTATCATTAGGTTGTAAATTGGCTTACGAATTTTGTTAAATTTTCAATGGACCAAAACCCTAATCGGAGCCCAATGTAATTGAAATTTTTCTAGTCTTCTAGATTTGTGTTTGGTGTTGCACTGATACAAAGCTATGATAGTGCAAATGATATGGATGCAAATTCTGATTTATTTTTGTTTCAAAATTTATCTTATTTTGTTTGATTGCAATACAAATGAAGTAAAAAAAAATGTGAAACAAAATGAAATAAAATCCAAAACAAAATTAAAACAGAATTTACATTATTTTCCATTTGCACTCTCAATCTTCCATACATTTGTATAGTGCAAATAAGATCGCAATCCAACCAAATGCAGCCTTAGCTGCTACCCAACTGTCGAACTGTACATCCAAAATCAGTAAATACATGCATCAATCGCTTCTTTTTCTTTTCTCATCATCTCCTGTAATTTTCTTTCCTTTTTCGTGTTCCTCTATATATATGGTTTTTGATGATGCGGCAAAGGTTTTTTGTTTTAAGAAATAAAATCATCCTTTCGTAGCAATACCCCCTTATCATATCTATTAGTGCTATAACCTTTAGCTTAGAGTAGTCTGTACTTTTTCTTTTGGCCAGAACTTTGGTCTTTTTGTCAGTTGTTTTTTAGTTCAAATCAGTTCCCCACAAGATTGCCCCCACAAGATTGCCCCCACAACTTTCCACAGCACATCCTTGCTGTGCATTGAAAACATCTCCCCGTGATAATACAAGATATGCTGATGTCATCAAATCACCACCCTTGGATTATGACTTTTATCATGAATTTCGTTATTGAGGTTAGGCTTTAATTTTGTCTCATGGTTTTGAAAGTCGGACCAGATGGTTAAACCGGTTGACTCGGAAATCAGTTTGGTCAAAAACCATTGATTTGATTAATAATCTGTTGATTCGAATGGTTAAACCATCGAACCGGACAATGATTTTTGGCCATTTATTATTTTAAATATTTATTATTTTTATTTTTTTAAATTAGAATGAACCGTTCATTCAAACCATACAATTAGACCATTTGACTCAAAACCGGTTGCCTGACCGGTTCTGTGTCCGGTCCGGTTTCTAAAACTTGCTTTGTATAAACTTGATTAAACCCAAATGTTGAGTCACACCCATTTTAGAGCTTGTCTATAAAACCCACATATGCCTTCTTTTTCATAGCATCCTCTCTCTCTCTCTCTCCTCCCCTTTATCTATCTATCTCTATTCTTGTATTCTACAGAGAAATGGATAAGAAGGTGTATGGAACTCGCTAGCACGGTCGGCAGGTAATCTATTAACAACAACATCGACTCCCACACACACACATAAATTMATTTAATCGCTGCATGCCCACCACCAAGTTGTGTTATTGCTTTTTATAAGTCTGAAACGCACCGGAAAAAGCTGCYGTCTCCGGTGGCTTAACTACCTGAGGCCTGATGTTCGAAGGGGTAATATTACAGCCGAAGAACAGCTCTTGATCATGGAACTGCACGCAAGGTGGGGAAACAGGTGAGCTTCTACGTAGTAAAATTACGTGAACAGATAAGTACTTTTTTTTTTCACAATTTCGTCGTCGTTTTTTCCCTTGTTGCTTTTATGTATGAAATAAGCATGGATATTTATTTTTTTTTCCAATTTTTTTTTTTTTTTTTAATTTTGCACTACAAACCCACCACTGAAATTTTTGTTTAGGCTCAGTCTGGAAAGAATACAAACATATGCACAGTGCAATCGTGCAAAACCGTGTTTACTCTTTCCAAACTGAGCCTTAGGTAAAGACCCATCACTGGTTGGTTTACTTCACTGTTAATCTTAGTCCCCTTTTATATCGAAAGAGAGCATATGAATTCAGGTCTTTCTTCGTATAATTTCATTTTTCTTAAATTGTTTATGGGTCAGATGAGTAAATTATCATATATATACATACATATATATAATTATTGTAAGAAAGAGCCATGTGGTCAGAAGGAGCCATGGAGGTAGCATCTGATAAAGGCTCACTTTTTAAAGAAAAAAAACGCCAGTTCAAATCGTCACATGTTTATTTTCCCGGTTTAAAAGCTTACCACAGTGGAGGTAGACATGAAACAGATGGTGGCTACTGGATAGCCATTCTTGAGAGTCAAGACAATAGGATGGGGATATGCACGGATATATAATTCAATGGTTTTAATTTATGGATGAGAGGATGAGGTTAGGCTTTAACTTTGTCTCATGGTTTTGAAAATCGGACCAGATGGTTGAACCGGTTGACTCGGGAATCAGTTTGGTAAAAAATCATTAATTTAATTAATAATTTATTGACTTGAATGGTCAAACCATCAACCCGGATAATAACTTTTGGCCATTTATTATTTTTTTATTATTTAATTCAGAACCAGCCAATTATTCAAACTGTACAATTGGAACGTTTGACCCAAAACTGGTTGCCTGACCGGTTTCTAAAACTTGCTTTGTCTAAACTTGATTAAACCCAAATGTTGAGTCACACCCATTTTAGAGCTTGTCTATAAAACCCACATATGCCTTCTTTTTCATAGCATC